CAAATGGACTGTATTATTAACTAGCTGTACCTGCCACGCATTGCTGTGGCCAACCTTTCTTCCTCTTTCTCTCCTTTCCTTCTCTCATTTCTTCCTTCTCTACCTCTTTCTTTCTTTCCTTCCTTTGCTCTTTTGTTGCTTCCTTCCCTCCCTCTTTCTCTCCTTTCTTTCTCTCCTTTCTTCCTTCTCTACCTCTTTCTTTCCTTCCTTCCTCTTTGGTTGCTTCCTTCCCTCACTCTTTATCTCCTTTCCTTCTCTCCTTCCTTCCCTCTCTCTTTCCTTCCTTTTTTCTTCTCTACCTCCTTCCTTCCTTCCTTCCTTCCTTCCTTCCTTCCTTCCTTCCTGCCTGCCTGCCTGCCTGCCTGCCTGCCTGCCTGCCTGCCTTTCCCCTTTCTCTCCTTCATTCCTTCCCTCTAGACATAGGCTGGAAAAGAGTTGGGCTTGAAGGCAGCACTTGAGAGAGGTGTGTCCTGCCTCTCCGCAGGGCAAGGGCTCAATGGTTATTAAGCTAGGTATCTGGGAGATTTCCTGCTGCGAGGTAGGGGATTGCCTCGTGGACCCAGTCTGGCATGCGAGGGGTTAAACAGAAATGTGTGGGGCCTATGGCCAGACAGACAGCCAACCAGGTGGCCGCCATGGCACCTGTAGACAGTGGCCCAGACTTGAGACATGGCCTGAGCTGCTTGCGAAGTTTCCCTGGTTGCTCAAGTTGGAGTTGAGTGACTACCCCATTCCCCCCCCACACACACACACACTTTCCTTGTGCCCTCACGTCACCCTCAAGTCTGCTCATCGCTCCTCTCAACTGCCACCACCTTCGGGGTCTCAGGACAAGGGGCCAAACTGCTGTGGGCCAAGGTCGCCCATTGAGGACCGCAGCCTTCCAATGTTATTGTAGCACAGGCATGGGCAAAGGAGAGCTGGGGCGGATGCTTGTTTTCTTTTCCCTCATGCGGGGAGGGATGGTGGTGGAGGAGGGGAATCATTTTCACACTTGTGCTGTATTGTCATTTAGCTTTTGGAGGTTTTTAAGTTCTTTCTGTTGCTTTTTTGTGGAGTTTTATCAGTGATGGTCACTCGTTAGTCTGTCCAAATTTGGTGTCAATTTGTCCAGTGGTTCTTGAGTAATGTCAATCCCACATTTTTGTTTATATAGATAGGAACAATCAATATTCTACAAATTCTCTCACTATATTAGTGGGATAAGAGACATTTCATCTTGCAAAAAAATTAAGTTGAACATAGAAGTTGTGTCCTTCATGGACACTGGCAGCAACATGTGTTCGATCAGAATTTTCTATAAAAATATTTCCAGTGCAAATGCTTCTGTTCTTCACAGTTGTCATTTTAGGAGTTGCATTCCTCTCTGATTCAAATGCTGCCAGACAATCTCCCTCGTCACTTCTCTGTCTGTCTGTCTCCTGCAGCTTTTAGATGCCTATTAAGGTTCCTTTTTTTAGACTGACCCACTTTTACACAAGACTTTCCAGTCTTAGGCAGTAATCCACTTATCAGGTGAGAACTCTGCAACAGCCCTGCCCAAGAAGACAAAGCTTTGTTAAAATCAAAATAACATGGAAGGCCAAGGAAGGGAGAGCCACTTTCTGTCTCTGCCAAGTAGCAACATGGAGGGTATATCTTTAGGCCAGGGCTTTCCTGTTCCTTTAAGCATGCAAGGGTAAATCTTGTGGTTAAGAGGGGATTGACTCATGCATGCTCTGACCTCCCCCTTCATCTTGGCCTTGTAGAAGAATACCCAGAATGCCCAGGAAAAAAAATAGACATCAGCACAAAATATATGATCTCTCTCTCTCTCTCTCTCTCTCTCTCTCTCTCTCTCTCTCTCTATATATATATATATATATATATATATATATCTCCTCGAAGTAAGGCTGGGGATCTCACTGGAAGCCATGATAACTGAATTAGGGCTGTTATACGTACTTTGAACATATCATGAGATGACACGTCTCCTTGGAAAGACAGTAAAGTGGCAGGCTGTTTTGTTGTTGTTTATTTGTTCAGTTGCTTCCGACTCTTTGTGACCTCATGGAACAGCCCACACCAGAGCTCTCTCTCGGCTGTAGCCACTCCCAGTTCCTTCAAGGTCAAGCCAGTCACTTCAAGGATGCCATCCATCCATCTTGCCCTTGGTCGGCCCCTCTACCTTTTTCCTTGCATTTTCCCCAGCATCATTGTCTTCTCCAAGCTTTCATGTTCTTCTCATTATGTGGCCAAAGTACTTCATCTTTGCCTCTAATATCTTTCCCTTGGGCTTTATTTCCTGGAGTATGGACCGGTTTGATCTCCTTCGGTCCAAGGCACTCTTAGAATTTTCCTCCAACACCACAGTTCACAAGTGTCTATCTTCCTTCTCTCAGCCTCCCTTATGGTCCAGCTCTCTCATCCATAGGTTACTATGGGAAATACCATTGCTTTAACTATGTGGATCTTGGTTGCCAGTGTGATGTCTCTATTCTTCCCTATTTTATCGAGATTGGCTGTTGCTCTCCTCCCAAGAAGTCAACATCTTCTGATTTCCTGGCTGCACTCTGCATATCTAAGGTTGTTAATGTTACTGCAGGCTGTACAGAATGAGAAAGATTGCATTACAGGTGGATTAAAGATACCACAGCTCTAAGTTTGCAATATCTGAGCAGGGCAGTTGATGACTGGGACTTTAGAGATCTTTCACTCATAAAGTTATTCTAAGTTGAAGTTGACTTGGTGGTAAAAAAAACAGCACAACAAAATAATTAGCCAACTTATATTTGAGGGTTGAATGAAAAGTAATGCCTCCACCTTCGTAACTCCTCAACAGATAGCAGTACTGGTAGGCGGCAGGTACTGGCTTGTTCCATAGACTCTCCTCTACAGTTCCATTTTGGCAGGAAGCCTTAGCATTGAATGGTTGTGTTGTTAAAGTGCAAAGTATGGAATCCTGCGCAGATGGTCGGTCAATGCAACTTAAGCAATGTGCAGTCATTGAATTCTTGACCCCAGAAGGTGTCACCCCAAAGGAGATTCATCAGAGAATGCAAGCTGTTTATGGTAATTATGTTGATGTGAGTACTGTGCATCGTTGGGCGAGTAAGTTTAAAGATGTTGAGGTGGGAACATCTGACTTGCCTGACAAAGACTTGGATGTCCTGTGACAGCAACCACCGAATTTCACAAGCAAAAGGTTGACAGATTGATTCAGGATGATCGTTGTATCACTTAAGAGAGAAATTTCAAGCATAATTGGCATTTCCCAAAAACGTGTGGGTCACATTATTGCTTTGCTTGGCTATCGGAAGATCTGTGCACGATGGTACCCAGGATGCTGACACCTGAAATAAAAGTGCACAGACTTGAAACTTCAGGGACTGGATCTCACCACTGTACGACATCCTCCATTCAGTCCAGATTTGGCACAGTCTGACTTCCATCTGTTCCCGATAATGAAAGAAGATCTGCAGGGACATCATTATGCTTCTGATGAAGATGTTGAGAGAACTGCAAGACGCTGGTTGAGGAACCAGAGTGTCGACTTCTTCCGTGACTACTTCAGAAACCTTGTTCATCGTTGGCAGAAATGTATCCAATTGTCTGGTGATTATGTGAGAAAGTGAATATTGGTAGTTATAGAGCACATTCTAAGGATTATTTCTGCGTTTGATTTATTAAAATATTCCCATCCAAACCCAAGAAAAGAAAGTAGAGGCATTACTTTTCATTCAACCCTTGTACAGTAGTTACAGCTCTAAACATTTTTTGTTGTTGTGTGAGCTTTGAGTTCATCTCAGCTTTGAGTTCATCTCAGCTTGTAAGATAAGAAGGAGTTAGAATGGCTTCTCATTTTTTAATTGTTTTTCCCCCGGGGATACATTATGATTCTTTCGTTGCAATGTAACTAAATGCAATGTAACTACTTGCAATGTATGTATGACCTATAACGTGCATGGGGTCCTACATTGAACTTTGTGCTATGCCCTTCCATTGAGGCAATAAAATGAAGGAGTGGCAAGGTTAATGCAGTAGCCAGTATATTATCTATGAATATACTAGTCTAGTTGTGATATAGTCATTAGTTTTTCCTGCATCACATTTTTTTCCTGAGAATTTTCCCCGGTGATCACTTGTGTATTTGAGTGTTCTACCATAAACAAGAGATAGGTTTATGAAGACAGAAATATGATTGATGGAAGGCACAATTACGCCTTCTTCCAGCAAACCCCAGTAGAATTAGATATGCTTGGATACAACAACAGTGTAAGAATAGAACATATTCTCTCATTCATTTCAGATGGGAATCATGCAGGAGAAAGTTCCCTGTGAATTGTGTTTGGAAACAGTGTTTACAACTGTGGGTATTTGGGTTGGTGCCAGTCCCTCTGTGGCACACCATCCAGTCAAGAGCTGTTAATTGACTCAATGCTAAAAGCTTTGTGGGAGGGGGGAATCAGAGCATCCTAAATGTAGGTCAGTTCTCTGAAATCCATAAGGGTCAAGTGCTTGCTCATTTGAGACCAAAATAGCTGGATTTTGCCTGTGTTCCGTTTGTGTTGTATTTGAGATTCAACCTGAAGAAGGAGTCTTACACTATTACCATCACCAAAGGCTTGTCAGCATCTTAATTTGGGATTCTAGATTATTCAGGGCTGGGAGTGAGGTCAGAGATTTGCATTCTGAAACCTCAAATTCCTCGAATCTCCTAACCAGCATATGCATTTTCCTCTTTTATTTGTTGTCTCCTTTCTAGATGCACAGCATTTGGTGACAGTTTATTTTGCCTAGAGAAAGTGGTCTGGTCCAACAGACACAGATTTTTGAAGCGGACAGTCCATCTGTTGGCTCAGGATTTTTGCCTCCAGGCCTACAGCAGTCACAACTGTTGTTTGAAGCAATGGCAGAGCTAATTGTTGAATAGAATTGAATTGGTAGAAGTCGGGCTCATTTTGTATGTATTTCTAAGCTTTGATTATCAGTGTTGTATCATAGATTTCTTTCATTGACAGATCACAGTTGCATTTCAAACTAAAGAGCCAGGCACGCCTTTCTGAAATGTGGACAGCATCTTGCCTGGAAGAAGTCTGCGAGGGCAGTACTAGCCTGGAAAGATCTTTTGTTTTGGGATGGCCCACCACCAACTGCGTTGCCAGTTTCAGGTATGAGAGCAGTCACTTTCCTTCCCCTGTTATTGTATTTATCTATGTGTATGCAGATTGAAGAGTGACTTTGGGTACAAAATATATCTCACTTAAACCAAGGAGTTCTCTTGTGTTAATTCAAAAAGGAGATGGATTTGTGGTCAGTTGAAACAAGGTGGTCAGTTGAAACATTCACACCTCGCTCCAACAGACAAGAGTTCTTTGTCCCACCCTTCCACAGATATATAAACCAATTTTCCTAGTTCCAACAGACCTCACTACCTCTGAGGATGCTTGCCATAGATGCAGGAGAAAAGTCAGGAGAGAATGCCTCTAGACCATGGCCATATAGCCCAAAAAAACCCCTACAACAACCCAGTGAGTCCGGCCATGAAAGCGACAATACAGATGACCAACTTGTTCTAGTGGAAACTCACTGAAACAGCTTTGGGACACATGGGTTATGCTTAAATTGAGAGATTCATGACATTATTTGAACTTCTGTGTCACTTAAAAAGCATGTTTCGATAGGCTGCATTTGGAATTCTTCTGGAGCGTGGCCATACAGCCTGGAAAACTCACAGCAACCCAGTGATTCCAGCCATGAAAGCCTTTGACAACAAATGTTTCAATAGGTTATCTTACTTGGCTATGAAATATCTGACATTATCAATGTGGTGCCCTCTGTCGAAGGGAATTTTGGAGTTTGTGTAAACTGAGATGTGCACACAGGGAGGTAAAGAGAGCATGTGAAGAAATTTATAAGAGTTGTCCGAGAGTATATAATTACACAAGAGTTAAGTAAGTGAAAAGATTAAAAGAAAGTCCAAATATTTATGAAGTACATTCTGTGGAAATGGCTCACGTTTTCTTGAGTATCCTCTTTGAATCCATGGGAGCCTTTGAAACTCTCTGTGAGAGATGAGGAGATACAGGGGCAAAAAGAAATGAATTGATGAATGTCTTGCTAAGGTCGTGGTCGTTGGTGACATTTGTTAGCTGCCCTCGACCTGCCACTTGTTTTCTTAACTAGCTCTTGATGTGAAGGGGTGGCTGCCAATGCCTAATGAATTCAGTGCTAACACTTAACCTCCAGTCAGGCAGTGTGATACCGAACCTTTGAAGTCTATTTCCATTGCTGACTGCTTTGTCTAGCTAGCATTTTTTTCTGTAGTTCAGACTGTTCCTCTTTGGGTCTGCATGCAGTTTCTTTATTCATTCAGGTGTTTGTATCTTACCCTTCTGTGCAAATTGCCTAAAGGTCACTCACAAAAGTTTAACAATCACAATGTTTTTGGGCGGTGGTGGTATTTTTTTTAAACTTTCAACCAGCCAAGCAAGGAGATTTATTAGGAAAAGTCAGTCATAATAAAATATTATTTGGTGACAGGTGAAAAACATCAAAGAATGGAGGGTGGGATCAAGTGCTGGACTTCTGCTAATGAAAACAATAGAAACTATTCCTTCCTCCCCTTTATAATCCCAGAAGCAGCTCTCGATCGGCTGGAAACCCCTCTGGAATTGTTTTTGAACAACATTGGGAATTTCTGTAAGGATATGGGGAAGGAGTTCCAAAGTTCCCCGAAGTAGAATTTGGGATTTGAGCCAAAGTGTTTCATTATATATGTGCAGCCACTGAAAAGGCATTTATCTTGTCCCATTCAATCACTCCTTGATTACATAGTGAACTCTCTTTTTGATGTTAAGGAATAGGAAGATGACAGGGAAGTTGGTGATCCCTAACCCATCCCGTCCCTATTTTGGGCTTTGAAACGAATCACTGATATTTTTGTGCTCAGAGGCATGTTGATAACTAATGCAGCTGTTTTGCAGTTGCACTTATTTTATTTATTCATTTAGTGTAGTTATATCCCACCCTTCTCACCCTAAAGGGAGGAGCCCCCGGTTAAACCCTTGTGCTGGCAACACTGAAGACCGACAGGTCGGAGGTTTGAATCCGGGGACAGCGTGGTTGAGCTCCCTTTGTCAGCTCCAACTCCCCATGCAGGGACATGAGAGAAGCCTCCCACAAGGATGGAAAAACATCAAAACATCCGGGCATCTCCTGGCCAGTGTCCTTGCAGACGGCCAATTCTCTCACACCAGAAGTGACTTGTAGTTTCTCAAGTTGTTCCTGACCAAAACAAAAAACAAAACAAAACTTGAAGGGGACTCAGAGCAGCCTTACAATTGGCAGCAATTTGATGCCATATTAACAGACAATAGAAAATAAACATATACATTAAAATTAAAAATCAATATAAACATTAAAACACATTATTAAAATCACGTAATTCGAGGACATAGTTAAAAGCCATTCCAGTCATTATTACAAATAGTTCCACCTCACTTATTGCACTGCACTAATGGCCAGAGCCATATTTTTACTTTGGTTCTGAAAGTCAGGAGGGAGGTGGCTGACCTGATTTCACTGGGGAGGGAGTTCCAAAGCCGAGGGGCCACCACTGAGAAGGCCCTGTCTCTCATCCCCACCGGTCGCACCTGCAGAGGGGGTGGGATTGAGAACAGGGCCTCCCCAGACAATCTTAGCCTCTGAGATGGTTCATAGAAGGAAATACGTTTGGACAGATAAGTGAAGGAATTTCATACTTAGCTACATGTGGTGCTTACTTCAGTAAACCAACCTGTATATAACTAAGGCGAGTGTTCCTCTGATGTAATCTCTTCAGAAACAACTACTACTGACACACCCGTCTCATCTAGCCAAAGCCACTCCTGATCACAGTGTTCTTTTGATCAACAAGATATACATCCAAGACCAGTAGTATTCCCAGATTGTGAATCTGTCTAATAGAAGTCTGTCTTCTTTCTGACCAGAAGACACAGACTATTTGTTAGGCTAGTTCAGAACATCAACAACTTCCTAAATGTTAGGAGAAAAGGGGAAAAAAGAGTTGAATGTTGTCTTCATTTTGCTGACAAGACATGTCAGCTTCCTGGATGACACTTCCCACTAGCTTCTTGCTGATACTAAACATCTGGGAGAATATTGATCCTTGCGAAATATCACAAGCCAATGGTCTATGTTTCAAACAGGAGTTCATAAACTCTCATCTTCTGGAACTAACTCTCAAGCAGGAACAGAACCATCATTAAATTATTCTTTCGAGTTTTAGTCATTACTGCTAGTCAATCTAGATGGATTCTTATGGTCAATAGTTTGAAATAAGAGGAATGTACTCCCCTGTGCAGTTGCTGCAAAATGTATTGAATGACATATTGATTTACTGATTGATTTACCTATTGCTTCTCAGCCTGCCAAGATCTCCAAGGTGATATAAACAAATTTGAATGTATTGTCGAAGGCTTTCATGGCCGGAATCACTGGGTTGTTGTAGGTTTTTTCGGGCTATATGGCCATGTTCTAGAGGCATTCTCTCCTGACGTTTCGCCTGCATCTATGGCAAGCATCCTCAGAGGTAGTGAGGTCCTCTGAGGAGAGAATGCCTCTAGAACATGGCCATATAGCCTGAAAAAATCTACAACAACCCAACAAAAACATTTAAAGCCTTCACATTTGATTGATGCTTTAAAGAAAGCTCTGTCATGATTGCACACCACCTACCAGGGTTGTATATGCAACAGGGCTTCCACTGATGATTCTACTAACATTTTAGGCAGGTTCATATGGGAGGAAGCCTTCTTTATTTATTTATTTATATATTTATTTACTTTGCTTATATACCGCTGTATCTCAAGCCCGAAGGCGACTCACAGCGGTTCACAAACAGTAGAAACAGTAGAAACAGCAGTGGTTCCATACAACATATAACAATAGACTTAACACATTATCCATAAATTAGCAATAAGCAATTACAATGCACAATTATTACAAAAAACAACCGTACCCAATCCTCTCATCATCCAAGCGTAGTCCAGATTCGTCGTCCATTGTTCCATTCCTATGTTCCATTACCAGATTGTACTAAATTACTCAAACGCCTGCACAAACATCCAGGTCTTCACCTTTTTGCGGAATACCATTAGAGATGGTGCTAGTCTAATGTCCGTAGGAAGGGCGTTCCACATTACATTACATTGTGTAGTCTCTAAGAATGCAATTACCATTCACCTTTCCTACAAAGCTTCCTTTGGCTGCTTTCCAGCATGGGAAGGATCCTGAATTTGTATGGTTAGCTTTCATGTTGTTGAAGGATCTTATGCACATCTTCAAGCTGTAATATATCACATCAAGGCAAGCAGGTCAAACATCCATCCCTTTGATCTACTATAACCTTGCCAGAGTAGATACAAATTCATCCTCAACGTGTCCAATGAAATTGTCCCAGTGAACTGTGAGTTAGCTGAGCCAGTGGCTAGGGTGAAGCTTTAAGATTACAGCAAACTGCTACAGAGGTTTCAGGAAATACAGCCTGTATTTACCTATATCTTTTTGCCTCGTTGCATTCTTGGGATGGAATATGCAACAAACGACCATGAATGACTTAAGCTGTGAGCCAACCTGACTGCAGGAGCCAACTGTTTGTGCCATTGACGTTCCCCTCTTTCCCATCAATTTTTAATCTCCTACAGACCCAACTAAACGTGATTGAAACATCTCCAAGATAGGGTTATTCAGAGTGTAGACATTAATTATTGGAAAGAATTTGAACCAGGAGATTGAAAGAATGACTGAAACTAGAGAAATGGCGACAGCCTAAAAATCAAGCTTCCCAGTTGACAATTTCCCAATGAGTTACTGTGGATGGGTGACAGGAAGAATAAAAGAGAATATTTATGACTTCCAGCAAGAGATGATACAAGGTTATTGCAGAGATAAAAAGGGAAAAAAAGATAAAGTAAATGATAATAATAAAAATAATGATGTAGCAGAAGAAAATAGCTTACCTTCCCTCCATAGCAGGCATGGACAAACTTGGGCCATCCAGGTGTTTTCTAAAGCGCCCCATAAAGTCGTTATGCCAGTTTGCCCAAGATTGCGTGTATATTTCTGTGTTTGATAACTGTCCTGCTTGTCTCTAACCAGGTGAAACATTGCCCAAAGATTCCTTACATAGTAGTGTTGTATTGTTCTAATATGCAATTTAAAACAAGTTTTTAATTATTTCAGTTCCGTGGAGCAGAAAGAGAAGTGGTTGACTTTCCTTCAAAGGTACGTCTGTTCTGAGATGCCATCAATGACAGACAATAATAAAGCTTTGTCTGATTCTTGTGGTCTGTCTAGTCAAAGTACAGGCAATTTTAAATCCTGAAAAATTGCGTAATTTCTGTAACTCAGATTAAGAGAGACTGGCAGGTAACTTTAATAATAATAATAATAATAATAATAATAATAATGCACTTCATTTATATTCCGCCCTTCTTTCCTATGGGACTCAGAGCATATTACAACATTTACATATGTAGGCAAACTTTCAGTGCCTTTATTATTGTATACAATAAGATACACCAACACAGAGGCAGAGGCTTCTCCTTTCATTTCTGGATTCTGGAGGCGATGCTCATTTCTGGCTCTGGGGAGGTGCTTTCTCCATTTTCAAGCCGAGGAGCCTATGTTGTCAACTCCTGGCCATGTGGCCAACAGGATTGCTTGGAGTGTCTCTTTACTTTTTGCATGTTTTCAAACTGATAGATTAGCAGAAACTAGGGCTCACAGATGGGAGCTCACCCCGTCTTGCGGATTCAAACTGCCAACCTTCAGCTCAGCGGTTCAGCAGCACAAGGGTTTAACCCATTGCGCCACTGAATGAACTAGAACTATAGACCTGGAAGAAATTTACCTGCTGATCAGAAAATGTAAAGCTAAAGCATTACAAAACTTCTAATGAAAGGGAGCCACCATCCATGAAATAGCTTTACAGAATAAGGTTTCATTTTGTAGACTCAAAATTGAGCAAGTGCTCATCAACCTAATATTGTAGAATAGTGAACATCCAACAGAGACAATGAAAATCTCAAAATTCAGGCAGATTTTTTTGTTGTTGTAAAAATGTCTTTTTAAATAAGGAACTTTACTTACAGATAAATATATTCTCTTGTATTTATTTATTTACAGTATTCATATACTGCTTTTCTCACTCCTGGGGGACTCAAAGCAGTTTACAAAAAACAATGCTAGATACATAAACCAAATCACAAATCAAACAGCATATGAGTAAGCATAAAATACAATCGGACAAATTCACCATAAAATAATAGGACAATTAAACATTAAGTATAAAAATAAAAACATAAAATCACATGATCCAAAATCGTAGACTGGGCCATTCCAGATGTCAATTACACATATTCCATATTTACTTCTTGTACTGTGTTACTTTACTATTTATTTACTTTTTCTTGCATGTGGTAAATTGGCATAATATATTTCCCATGACGCACTGTTTTGTGAATATACTTTAAAAAATTATTCCATTCTGCTTGCTTTCATAGCCGAATAAAGGAAGAGAAAGCAAAAGACTACCCCAAGAGCATTCCCTTGAAGATTATTGCAAAGGATGTTGGAAACTGTGCATATGTAAGTGTTCATAAGCCAACATTTGAGGAGTATATTAAGTGGAACAGTTCTTCTTGTTCCTTGGCAAACTGCTGTGAAAAGTCATTCTAGTATTGCATGATGGGCAATAGTTACTGAGTATAAAATGCCAGCATCTGTTTTGAGGCACAGAAGCTGCTGAAGGAGAATTCTTCTTGGTGTTTTGGGCACTTTGGACTTAACACTAAACTGTGTTTTGATATTATATGAATAAGCCTCTGGCTTCTATGCATACAACTTCTTCATTATCGCCTTTTCCCCTGCTTTGAAAATTAAGTTGACTGTTTCATGTTTGCACTCAAGATATGTCTTAAATCTCTTTCCCTATTTTCTTACCCCAAATGATCAGGAAGACCTAACAAAGGAACTGAAGAGCCAAACTAGTATTAAAATAGAGTCTATGGCTATTGTCTTTCTCCAAGCTAGCCCATGTGAAGCAGGGCATTATTGGGACTGGTTGGGATGGAACTTCAAGATGGTGATACATTCTAGTTCTGGATATTAAGACTTTCTTAATATGTTAAGATATGATGCAGGTCCTTTAGATTTGTTGTTGTCCAGATGTAAAGGCTCAAATTGCTTTGTTTGCCCTAAATTTGATTTTTTCTCCCAAATGGAGTAGACCTATTAAGTCATGTCATCACTTACATTTAGTTCAGTTAGTAAGTCCATGGACTAATTCATTTGATTAACTGAGTTTGCTCTAGATCAGTGGTTCTCAACCTGTAGGTCACCAGATGTTTTGGCCTTCAACTCCCAGAAATCCTAACAGCTGATAAATTGTTATTATCTGCTTTGAACTGGAATATATGGCTGTGTGGACTCAGATAACCCAGTTCAAAGCAGATATTGTGGAATTTTCTGCCTTGATAATCTGGGTTATATGACTAGGGAATGGCCCCTAGTGTACTTCTAAAATCTATACAAATTGAATGTTTGACTACCATCTGGTTTGATAACCCAGGGCCCTTCCACACAGCCCTATACCCCAGAATATCAAGGCAGAAAATCCCACAATATATGCTTCGAACTGGGTTATCTGAATTCACACTGCCATATATTCCCAGTTCAAAGCAGAAAATGTGGGTTTTTATTCAGCTGTGTAGAAGGTTCCTATGACTCATGGAGCTTGGAAAACATTTTTTGGATGCTGCATAACAGCATACTGGGTGGAAGATTGTGGACCCAAAGGCTTACACTTTGATGCTCTGTAATAACCTCTGTTAGATTTGTAAACAAAGAATAGCAGTATTGGTCTAAGGTAGTGTTTCCCAACCTGGGGTTTCGGACACCTCGGGGGGGGGGTCGTGAGGGGGTTTCAGAAATTTGGCCCAATTATATTGTTGGTGGGTTCAGAATGCTCTTTGATTGTAAGTGAACTATAAATCCCAGCAACTACAACTTCCAAATGTCAAGTCTCTTTTCCCTAAACTCCACCATTGTTCACATTTGGGCATATTGAGTATTTGTGCCAAGTTTGGTCCAGATCCATCATTGTTTGAGTCCACAGTGCTCTTTGGATGTAGATGAACTACAACTCCAAAACTCAAGGTCAATGCACACCAAATTCTTCCAGTATTTTCTGTTGGTCATGGAAGTTCAGTGTACCTAGTTTGGTTCAGTTACAACATTGGTGGAGTTTAGAATGCTTTTTGATTGTAGGTGAATGATAAATCCCAGGAACTACAGCTCCCAAATGACAAAATCAATCCTCCCCGCTCCACAATCCCATTAGTATTCAAATTTGGGTATTTCGGGTATTTGTGCCAAATTTGGTCCAGTGAATGAAAATACATCCTGCATATCAGATATTTGCATTATGATTCATAACAGCAGCAAAATTACAGTTATGAAGTAGCAATGAAAATAATGTTATGGTTGGGAGTCACGACAACATGAGGAACTGTATTAAGGGGTCGCGGCATTAGGAAGGTTGAGAAACACTGGTTTAAGGTATGAACCAATCTCAGTTTCAGAGCTACATATCACCTTGAAAGCTATATTTGTCAATCATATATGAACATGAAATATGCAGCAGTTTAGAGCCTTGACAACCGAATCTTGGGAGCTACCAGTAGTGGTCACCTTGAAAGCAAACTGTAGTAATGCCAGAAATAATATTAATAAGACAGTACAGTGGCAGATAGAAGGTTCCCAAAAATCTCAATGCTTTCTGTGAAGCTTTTCTCCTTTTTCTGCTATGGCAGCTGAGGCTCTCGGGGAATTATTCCATTTTATGCAAGAGTTAGGGTTAGCAAAGGAGGAGAGGCATATGCAGAACAAATGATTTTATTATATTCTAGCCGAAGGCAAGCCTTATGCAAATGTGCTGACCTACTACTGGGTGCCAGATGTCACTACTTTGCGGGGGGGGGGGGGGGGGGGGGGGGGAGTTAATTTTTTATGTTTTGTTTATGTTATGATCATTCCGCTATGACCTCAGGCAAAAATAGACTGCGCTTGTACTCATTTGGTTCACTTTTCTTGGCTCTGTGCAATTTCCAGTGGCTCAGACAGAAGTATGTTTGAGGTATTTGTAAAGAACACATTGGCATCAGAGTTCTGTCACCTGGAATCTCTGTGATCTGCTTTTTAAATGGTTATGATTGGACAGTGTGATAAGTTTTCATTTTAGGAAGCAGACTTAGTCTACAAAAGCTATGCTTCCAACATTGTTCTCTTAGTTGGTGTAAAATGTACAGACTGGGAATTCCAGACTAACATCACTATGTTTTGCATTTCATTCGTAGAGTAATATATTAACTTGTAATGGTTTCTGGAGTGTTTGTCACCAGGACAGAATTTACTTGTTATTCCCCAAGAAATACGTTTTTAGACTAGGAGTCATTTTGGAGGTTGGAGCAATTTTTCTTTTGCTGTTGTTTTTAAAATCAATGTAAAAGTAACCTTCTGTTGCGTGTGAACTGTCCCTTAAAGTAACATAAATGCCAATTATTAGCTTTTAAAAATAATGTTCCAAGCTCCTGTGGGATGTCATAATAATAGATTTGCAGTGTCATGTGGAAGCATACCACAAAACTGGGTCAGAATTGGATCTATTTCCTCTGTTACTGTAGTCCATAGGGTGAAATCAGGGAAAGATTAGGCACAGATTAGATTGCATCCAAAATGTTTCTGAAATTTTTGACCTCTCTGCTCTTGTAATTCCAAATTTCATGCAGCATTTCAATTTGTGATGTTGTAATTCCAATAATGGTGTTTTCTTTTGCTTCTTTTCTCCACTAATAGTCAAAAACCCTAACCGTAACCAACATGGATTCAGCAAATGATGTGATCCTCATGGCTCTCCAGCAACTTGGAATTAATGTAAGAGTTTAGATTTTTTTAAAAAGTCCTTTTATTACTTTAGTTAGTAATATGTCTGCTGATGTAATATATAACCCAATGGCTGACAGAAAGCTAGAATAATAATAAGGTATTATAATAATAATAATAATAATAATAATAATAATAATAATAATAATAATGAGCCCCCGATGGCACAATGGGTTAAACCCTTGTGCCGACAGGACTGCTGACCGATAGGTCAGTGGTTCGAATCTGGGGAGAGCGGGTTGATCCCCTGTTAGTCAGCTCCAGTTTCTCATACGGGGAAATGAGAAAAGCCTCTCATAGGATGGTAAAACATTCGTGTGTTTCCTGGGCAACGTCCTTGCAGATGGCCAATTCTCTTACACCAGAAGCAATTTGCAGTTTCACAAGTCGCTTCTGACACTAATAATAATAATAACAACAACAGCAACAACTTTATTCTTATACCCTGCCACTATCTCCCCAGAGGGACTCAAGGAGGTTTGCATATGGGACTAAATGTCTACAAGACATTAAAGCAAAAACAATCCATAAAACAAAACAAATAGGAGCATCATAAAATACAACAACCAAGAGAAAACACACTAAACATAACAGAATAAAACAAATTGCACTGGAGCTCCATCAGACCAAATTCAACAAAAACAAAAACTCAACAAAAACATCAGCTTCCTTATGTGATCATTGGTTCTCTTGATGTATAGTAAGAACACTTTGCCTCTGGGTGGACCTGGGTGAACCTCACTTGCGTAGCTTCTCAATCTCTGAGAATGTCTGCCATAGATGTGGGCAAAACATTAGGAGATAATGCTTCTGGAACATGGCCATTCAGCCCGGAAAACTCACAGCAACCCAGTGATTCCTGCCATGACAGCCTTTGACAACACATAATAATGATCCTATATATTTAAGTTATATCAAGATCTCACATGATATTCTTACATTGCAAATGTACAGAACACCTGCAAAAGGCTGTGCTGGGCTACGTATGGCAAAGTGGATGAAAGTAGCGTACATTTTCAGATGATTTACCTTTTGGGCTTTGATTAAAAACAGCTGATCTCTAGTGACATCTGTGAGACCCATATTCAAGACACAGGTTTTAACTTGCAAATTAACTTTAACAATGAAGTGTGATTTAATTACATTGGCATCGTATTTTTAAAGCTGTGGGATTGTACTTTTTTTTTTAAGGGTTCTGAAAAGGACTATCAGTTGTGGGCGAACTCTGGGAAAGAAGGTGCCCCATATCCTCTTATTGGTAAGTTTCTGGAACATACACTATTACATACGTGGTTTCATTCATTTTCTGTGCCACCTCTTGTCAAGGATTCAGATAACATAAAACAACCACAGCACATGCACATACAAAACAATACTGTATTACTGGTTTTATATTTTTCCTTGAAATCTTATTTGAAGAAAGAGATTATATAACTTTGACAGAAAGACAGTGGACTCAGAATTTCACAGGAAAGGTAAATCTGTAGTAGAGGCAAGGCCAGGGTAGTCAAGCCTTTCCATTTGCTGTACTCTTATTTATTTATTTACAGCATTTATATTCTGCCCTTCTCACCTCGAAGGGGAATCAGGGCACATCACAGAACAACAAACATTCAATGTCGTTAGACATACAAGACAGACAGACAGACAGAGATATGTGGCAGCATTTTTCCAACTTCGGCATCCTGGAGGTTATGCTCGATTCCAACCACAGGCAGGTGCTGTCGCCTCATGCTCTGTGACGACAAGCCTTTTGATTACAGATTTTCCCCCTGTTCTTTGATCATCGGCTTTTTTATGGTGCCGTAAAACACCTCCCCGCTTAAGTGGTGCTTAATTTCTCTACTCACAGCTCACAGTTGTTTTCGAACTGCTTTGGTGGACTGTAAGCTAGGCTAAAGGTCGGTGATCATCCTGACCTAGGCTCAAACTGCCAACATTTCAGTTGGGAAAGATCTATTGCTGCTGGCAATTAACCAGCTGTGCTAAAGCCCAGCTCTAGACTAGATGAACAGTTAAGAATATTCTCTTGATTGAATGTATTCAGAGCTTTGAAAAATTGCCTTTTTGGACTTCAGCTTTCGAAATTTCCAAGCCATAATAGTCACTGAGACCATTAGTCATAGTCCAAACTCTATAGTTTTCGTTTTGGTTACACTATTCCTTTGTTCCTGCTTGACTCCTCAAGCTTTGTTTATCCATTATTTGTTTTTTATGTCATCCAGATCAGAGATTTTGGTTTGTCTGACCTTAAAACATAATGTAAAACTCGAATATGCTAGATAGAGTTTGAAAGGTTCAACCAGATAATGGTAACTTATGTTTGAATATTGCAATAAGGAAACAATTGAGTATCTGGTGTGAGCAACCACTTCCACAGGCAGGAAGAGCCAATGCGTGGGCAAGTCTCTCAGCATGCAGAAACACATTTACTTGCTCCTAATTAAGCCAGGATTTTCTGAAGCCCCAGCTTATGCCTCTAAATTTATGTCTACCTTAGTAGTGCATTGGCGTAATTGTAGGAAACGAATGATTTTCTTCCCTGCTCTCCCTTGACATTTGAATGTTCTGCATATGATCTTTCTCCTTTACTTATACATAAGATTTTTTCTCTTGAAAACAGATGCAAACACTTTGGATTTTTTTACTTTCAGAGGAATCTTTTCTCTTGCAAATGCAGATCCTCTTCTTCTGACTGTAATCATACAAGATGCTAAAGTGATGCTACTCTTAATAATTTTCTTAGGAGCTTAATGTTGAAGGCTGTTTTCCCACCTCTGTTCTGTTGTAGGAGTTACACGGGTGCACATTAGAAAGCATAGCCTTTTTGGTGCTTTGTTTTCATTTTCCGACTGCTTGTTATGCCCACAAGCAGATTTTAAAAATTCAGATTTCATTGCTGTCAAGTAAAGTTTACAGACTTAATTATCTGCAAAACATTATGGAGATGTGCTGTCAACCATTTGAATTCAAGGTGGAATATCTTTGTAATTGCCTCCTTTTCCTTTCGTTGTCACAAGTTGTGATTGGGGCTGGTGCATATTCATTGTGAAATGTTGGAATACTCCTGCAGGTTAAGCCCAGACCTTGTCTTTGCCACATGGAAGTTCTCAAGCAATCCCACAACCATTCCTTTTTGTTTGTCTACTTCCTCTCCATATGGAGGTTCCATTTTAGAAACCATGAGTAATTTAATAATTAAATAGCATGTGTTGATGAATTAAATAAGGACCAATATTCCCTTTTACATTTTAAAAGATCGAGAAATATCTATTAATATACTAACTAATGATTAAGGTAATGGTCAGCTCCACCTCAGACAATGACTTTTCCAAAACTCCGAAACACTACATTTAGGATTACAGCTTTCAAAAATGTCCATCCATCATGGCATGTTCAGGTTGAGGCTCCATTTGGCATTTTGTAGACTGCAATTTGAGTACTTTTAAATATTCTGGAGAAGTTGCAAAGATGAGGAATATTTTAGAACACATGCAGAGAGAGGGTAGATCAGTGGTTCCCAACCTTTTTTTGGCCAGGGACCTGTGTCCAACGATAGTACCAAGGAGTTTACAAATCCATTTTTGGTCATCTTTAGATTTGTTTTGGTTATTTGGGGTGCTGATTCAGAAAATTGCATTGGATAGATCACATCATCTCTAGTTTCTGATACAGAACATATGGCATCCAGTAGTCGCCATCTACTTCCCCACAGAAAACCATATTTCATAATCTAAAGCTGATGTGGTCTATCTGATGCAATTTTCTGAATCAGCACCCCAAATAACCCCGGGAACAGGCCTAAAAACAAAGACACAAAGGCTTACAGGCACCACATGGAACGGCTCCACTCGGGGAGGTAGGAGGAGGAGAATCAGCAATCAGGAGGCTTGTTGTCACACCTTTTGTGGGTAGTCAGCCTCTCCCCTCCCAACATCCCTGTTGCCTCGGCACTATAAGAAGGTTTCATGAGATCAGTTGCTCTTGTTGCAACGGTGTAGTAACGTGAGGCCATGGACCATATTTTAGTTCTTGGGGACCACTGGTGGTCCATGACCACAGCTTGGGAACCACTGGGGTAGATGAAAACTTACAAGTTGAGCTCTGTTGAACTGCAGAGGATTGTCACAATTGCTTGTTTTCACATACGTCTCCCACTTTTCCTTCATGGAGCTCAAAACCGCATATATAGCAGTCCCAGTTTCTGTCAAATAACCCAGTGGTGAATATGTTACCCCAATAAAGAATGATTGATTCAGGAATGCCCACTCACATGCATAACAGAGGAAAGAATTGTATCTCTTCTTCCAAGCTCTCAAAAGTGGGGTATCTCTTACTGCTCCCCATCCACTCTTTCCTGGAAAATTTCAGAATGAACCCAGCTATAACTTGAAAGCATCTTGTAAGGTCGAGCTTAATTTTAATCTCTGTGCACACGTCTTCAAGCGCTTGAGTTTCATGGCCAAATGGCTTCTTCTTCTTTTTCTTCTTCTTCTTCTTCTTATTATATATTTATATTCCACCCTATCTCCCTTGAGGGACTCAGGGTGGATTCCAAACATACAAGGCAAGCATTCGGTGCCCAAATGCAACAACAATATAGCCATAGTAACGAAATTTGGCAAAACAAATTATGACTTAATAACTAAAATTAAATAAAAAAACAACAACCTGTTATATCAGGCATAAGACAAAACATCAAACATCGAAAAGAAGCATCAATTTCTCAGGCTATGGGAAAGTGGGAGACCGCAGCCATTCCCCCATGCGCCTCCATCTCCCCAAAGGGACTCGGGGTGGCTTACATATGACGCAAGGTGCCTAAAAACAACGCATAAAATAAACACACACTACAGTACAAAAAATTAAAACAAATAGCACACAAAACAGCAGCTTTACGTGGGACTGCCCTTGAAGACTGCCCGGAAGCTTCAGATGGTCCAGCGCTCGGCAGCCAGGTTGCTAACAGGAGCGGCACTCAGGGAGCGTACCACTCCTCTGTTGAGCCAGCTCCACTGGCTGCCAATCTGCTACCGGGCACAATTCAAGGTGCTGGCGCTAGCCTACAAAGCCCTAAACGGTTCCGGCCCCACTTACCTCTCCGAACGCATCTCCACCTATGAACCGACGCGAACATTAAGATCTTCCGGGGAGGCCCTGCTCTCGGTCCCGCCTGCATCACAGGCACGGCTGGCGGGGACGAGAGACAGGGCCTTCTCGGTGGTGGCCCCTCGGCTATGGAATGCCCTACCCATTGACATCAGACAGGCCCCTTCGCTGCTGGCGTTTCGAAAGAAGGTTAAAACCTGGCTCTTTGAGCAAGCGTTTGGCTAATCAGCGCAATCAAACATAGGATGACGGTAAATTGAACATAGGAATGGCACAAGGATTATGAGATTGGATTTTGCTTTGTGATCGAGGCATTATGTATGAATGATTAATTATGTATTTTGTTATTGTGTATGATGTGTTTTAAATTGTTATTGTTGTGTTAATTTACATTGTGTAAACCGCATTGAGTCACCTAATTAGGTTGAGAAATGCGGTATAGAAATAAAGCAAATAAATAAATAAATAAATAAATAAACTTAAAACTCAGAACAACACTCTATAGCCTATGGTGACTACTACCATAAGACATGGCCAACTGTAAACAAGACAAGGGAAAGGGATAGTGCAGACTGTAGCTAAGGGCATGGGATGAAAGTGCAGTGCTGTGCCATTAATTGCGGATCATTGGAACTAGACATTCTCAAAGGCTTGTTCAAACATCCAAGTCTTCAAATCGCTACGGAAGGAGGACAGTGTGTATTTTGGAGGACAGTGTGTACAGAAGGAGGACAGTGTCCCTTGTGTATTTGCTGCCATACTGGATGGTGGTAGTTACAGTTTATTCTGTCAAGTAGTCTGTCCAAGTACTTGTCTCCCTCTCATAGGTTAAGATCATAGCACTGCCACACTTTTATGCCATATTTTTTTTGTTCGCTTGGTATACATTACCTGTCCGGAAAGGTAGCCGTATTTTAAGTGGCTATGCATCATTCTTGCTTCTGTGTTGACATATTTCCAAGTATCTTCTGAGTGTTCAAAATGCAATAAGTTAGTTAGGATAACTTTTGGTACAGCTTTTTACCCATAAAAACATAGCAACTTGAGACATTATTAAAAACTAGCCATCCCCTGCCACACATTGCTGTGGCCCAGTCTGTATGTATATGTTTTGTGTGTATATATTTGTGTATATGTGTATATTTATGTTGTTTTGCATATGTGTTATATGTGTATTTTTATTTTATTTTTTGGCTGTTTAAGTCTTTTCCGATGTGTTTTTCGGTGTTTTTATGAGTGATAGCCACTTATTGGCCTGATGGGTGTATTGTGTCCAAATTTGGTGTCAATTCGTCCAGTGATTTTTGAGTTATGTTAATCCCACAAACAAACATTACATTTTTATTTATATAGACTAGATGGCCCATGTGGTCTCTTCCAACTCTGTTTTTGTATGACTAGCTATCCCGTGCCACGTGTTGCTGTGGCCCAGTCTGTGTATATGTGTTTTGTGTGTGTGTTTATGCATATATGTGTGTATGTGTGTCTATATCTGTGTATATGTGTTTATATGTGTGTTTGTGTTTTGTGCATGTGTTGCAGTGTATTTTTTTGGTTTTTTAAGTCTCTTCTGCTCTGTTTCTCAGTGTTTTTATGTGTGATGGTCACTCATTGGCCTGATAGGTGCATTGTGTCCAAATTTGGTGTCAATTCATTGAGTGGTTTTTGAGTTATATTAATCCCACAAACAAACATTACATTTTTATTTATATAGATGTTTGCAGTGACAGTGTTATAGAATGGCTACTTCCTCAATTAATTTTTGTAGGAATTCTGTAAACAGAATGAGTCTCTGGGGTATTAAAATATTCCATCTACGAAAATGAGAGTTAATATGCCTGGCATTTTACAGGGTTATATAAAGGCTCTGTCTATTAACTTTATGAAATTGGAAAAGAAGGTATGCAGGGAGGTGAAATAATTGGTTTAAATCCTTAGTGGTGGTTTTAGAAAGTGAGGAGAACAAGCCATTCATTGCATCATATCAGAACTAGAAACAATATAATATGAAAGCTGACTGGCACAACCTGGGGATCACAACCAGACACAGTGAAGACATCTGCCCTTGCGCTACACTACTCTGCTACTGAGTATGCATGCCCAGTATGGAACACATCTCACCACGCTAAAGCAGTAGATGTGGCTCTTAATGAGACATACCGCATTATCATGGCATGTCTGCGCCCTACATCACTGGAGAAATTACACTGTTTAGCCAGTATTGCACCACCTGACATCCACCGCAGCCAATAGTGAAAGGACCAAGGCAGTGACATCTCCAGCTCATCTGTTTGGGTATCAGCCAGCATGTCAATGACTTAAATCAAGAAATAGTTTTCTAAGATCTACAGAGACACTCGCTGGAACACCCCAGCAAGCGAGAGTCCAAAAGTGGCAGACTCAAACCCAGAACCTCAATCAATGGCTGATACCAAATGGGAGACTCCCCCTTGGGCACACAGAAAACTGGGCGACTTGGAAGACGCTGAACAGACTGCGTTCTGGCACCACGAGATGCAGAGCCAACCTTAAGAAATGGGGCTATAAAGTGGAATCCACGACAAGCGAGTGTGGAGAAGAGCAAACCACTGACCACCTGCTGCAATGCAACCTGAACCATGCCACATCCACAATGGAGGACCTTCTTATAGTAACACCAGAGGCAGTCCAAGTGGCCAGCTACTAGTCAAAGGACATTTAATCAACTACCAAACTTGCAAACTTTGTGTTTTGTTTTGTTTTGTTTGTTTGTTTGTTAAAAATGCAATACAACTGTTTTGTTTGCTCCTGACATGATAAATAAAAAATCATATCAGAAATGGAGTGTAAAAATGAAAGTACCCTGTATGTCAAGTGACTACATTATATTTATGCAAGTGTATGAGCATATTTTCACGGAATAGTCTCATTGCGACATCCCTGCTAGGTCTTTTTCTGTTGCTTAGCCTCTATTATTTATATACTAAGCTGTCTTCCTCTTTCTCTGAGCAGGACATGAGTATCCGTTTGGAATCAAAATGAGCCACATTCGTGACACTTTGCCGCAGATGCAGGGATCAAAGGACAGTGTTTGCCCTCTGGACCTTCAGGGGGCCTTCCTGATGGAACAGCTGCCCCGCGAGCTTCAGTGCCAGTTCATCCTCAAGCCAAGTCGCCTGGCCACTGGCCAGGACCTGAATGGTGAGTCTTTCCACTCAGAGAAGCCTCATTCAGAGAGTGGGTTTTTTTTCCTGCAGACTGACTCTGTGTTGTAATAAATTGTCGTATTCTGTTGATTCCGCAAAAAAGTCACATACTAGATAAGAGATTATTTCTAATGATTTTTTTTCATAATATATGTTTAAAATGCATCCTGAAAAATAAATTTACAGTTTATGTAACACAGAATAAAGCCAGTAAGGAAATAACCTCATTATTTTTGTTATCCAGTCTGTAGTTTTGAGTTACTAGGGCTTTGTTTTTGTTTTTCCATTCAAAGCAATCTTGATTGACAAATCCGCCTCTTCTGCAGGACTCTAATGATACCTAGGCTTATATAAGCAAGTATGCTCAAGGTGTAGTTACAGATCTTTTCTGTATCCTTGTAATGTATTTGTGTGTCATTGATCCACATGCCAGATCTCCTTATTGAAGACCTTGGAGTAATAATACTTAAAATTGGGGGAGGGGAGGAAGAGGTGGAAAAGAAGGATTATGGTGCATTAAACCTGTGTCCTGTAACACAGTGGTTTTCAGAGGTTCTGTTGGTAGATGAGTTAGCTATGTATTTGATTATTGCGTCACAACTTCCCCCTCAATTCCTGGACATTGAACAGTTGTTTTGGTAGCTTTCTAAGATGCATACCGTATATACTCGAGTATACGCTGACCCAAATATAAGCCGAGGCAACTAATTTTATGACAAAAAACTGGGAAAATGTATTGACTCGAGTATAAGCCTAGGGTGAGAAATGCAGCAGCTACTGGTCAATTTCAAAATAAATATGTATACCAATAAAATTATATCTGTAGGTTAAATGTTTTTGAATATTTACATAAAACTGCAATTTAAAACTCTGATTAAACTCTTATTCTAACCTTCTTCAATATAAATGTGCTTACATATCCTTCCAGTAATAATTGAGTAAAATAATAAATGTAATAATAACAATAATAGAGTAAAATAATAAATGTAATAATAGAGTAAAATAACCAATATAATAATAATTAATAGAGTAAAATAGTAAATGTAGTAATAATAGAGTAAAATAATGTAATAACAATATAAAATAGAGTAAAATAATACATGTAATTAAAATATTTACATAAAACTGTAATTTAAGCTAAGACTCTGATTAAACCCTTATTCTAACCTTCTTCAATGTAAATGTGTTAAGGTATCCTTCCAATCATAATAGAGTGAAATAATAAATATAATAATAATAGAGGAAAATAAGGTAAATGTAATATTAATAAAAATAGAGTAAAATGATACATTTAATAATAATAGCAACAACAACAGCTTATACTCAAGTCAATAAATAACTTGACTCGAGTATAAGCTGTGGGGGGCTTTTTCACCCTAAAAAAGGGCTGAAAAATTCTGCTTATACTCAAGTATATACGGTACATTATTTATATGACAATTCCTTTGCTTCTGGCATCTAAGAACCTAACTGTCCCTTGGAACGTGCTTGTGTAAGCACCCTGCCCAAGGTAGAAAATATCAGACCTTGGAAAAGTTATATTTACTGACTCTGTAGTTTCTAGAATCATCCAGCTGTCATGGCCACTGTAGGATTTTGGAAGCAGCTGTCTGAAAATGTGATTTTTCTAATTTCTGAGAATCTTGCATTCCTTGATTGCTGAATTGCCTTGTGAAATCTAGATGTGCCCACAGTGACCCCTGAAGCTTTCCAAATGTGGCTAGGAGGTTGCTTAATAGTCTGGTCGCTTTGTGCTGCTTCCTTTCTGTGCTTGCTGTGGGTGCTTTTAGGAACAGAGGTTTGTCTTGTTTTTGTTTTCCAGTGTTGTCAGATTTTGATTGTTTTATAAACCCATGTAGTTTAATAAGCACAGCTGTGCTGGACACCAAGAATGTCCTGCTGCACAGCCCACCTTTTACCCCCAGCCTTCAGTTCTTGCTGCACATTTTCCCATTTCTAGTTTTGCAAAGTGAATAGAGATTCCTGATCTCCTGCCCATCCTAGTAGTCAAAATGCCACAAATTCATTGAGCAGTGTGCTCTACTTAAAACGGAACTATGTTGATCATAATGTTGGCTCTCTTAAGATACCTCTCAATTTCTCTCCTTCGTTTTGTTTACGTGGGGATAGTGGTGACTCTGTTCTTACCTTACACATCTGAATCTCATACATGTTTCTCTGATCCTCTGGCATCCTTGTTGCATCCACATTCAACTCCTTCTTAGTCATAGTAATACAATTCCCCCTTATATCTTATCTTTTCCATCTGTTCCAGGCAGGCATTTCCTGCCAGCTACTTGGGAAATGTAGTCCCTCTTCCATCATTTATCAGTAGCACGTTGTCGATGTTTGTACATCTACAAACCACCCCCTTGTGGTTACTCTTTGCTACAAGAGGAAGCAGTGCTTGGAATACACTGGGAATTTATATCATCCAGAATTTCATTGAGGAAGTGAAGATTAGAACCCAAAGAGTGCCAATTATTAAGCACTTGGCAACATTGCAGATTGGTGCTTTGTGAATTATTTGAAACACAACAAGATGAGTCCACAGCAGACAAGATAACTCTGCTGGCTGTTGTATTGGATCACACGTCGGACACGTCTCAAGTGTCTAGGACTGTGTGATGTATTGGCAAAAAATATGTACAGATCCCAGTAAGGTGGTCTTCTGCAGCTGGCAGATGGTAATTTTGTCAGCGCCGATTGTGTTTAAGTGCAGGCCAAGGTCTTTAGGCACTGCACCGTGCCAATCACCATTGGGACCACCTTGACTGGCTTGTGCCAAAGTCTTTGCAGTTCGATCTTTAAATCCTCATATTGTGTCAACTTTTCCAGTTGTTTCTCTTCAATTCTGCTGTCACCTGGGATGGCAACATTGACAATCCATACTTTGTTTTTTAACACAATCATGAGGTCAGGAGTATTGTGCTCCAAAACTCTTGTCAGTCTGAATTTGGAATTCCCAGAGTAGTTTGACATGCTCATTTTCTGTAACTTTTTCCGGCTTGTGATCCCACCAGTTCTTTGTCTCAGGCAGATGGTATTTGTGGCACAGGTTCCAATGAATCATCTGAGCAATGGTGTTATGCCTCTGCTTGTAGTCTGTCTGTGCAATCTTGGGATCTGTCACCGATTTTCAATTCTGACTTTAATGGCATTTGTTCTAATGGCTTGTTCTTGGGCTGCCAGAATCAGGCCCTCCGTCTCTTTTTTCAAAGTTCCTTTTGTGAGCCACAGCCATGTTTCTTCTTTGTCAATTTGGCTCTCAATTTTTCCCAGGAACTGTCCATGGAGAGCCTTCTTTCACCAGATTTCTCTTCTGCTCTGGCTTGTGTTTTTACGGTATTCTTGCTTTGTCTTTTGCACTTTAAGCAGTTTACTACTATTGACTTCCCTCAATGTTGGTTCTTGACTGCCTTTCACATAATGTGCCAGTGCATGTTTCTCTTCTTCTACCATTTGTTTCACTTGCAGAAGCCCTCTCTCTGCCTCCTTATTTTCTGGGCAGGTAAAGTCTGTCGACATCACTACGCGGGTGTAATGAGTAGTGGATTGTCATCAGTTTTCTTGTTTTTCTGTCCAGATCATCCAGTTCTGCTTGTGTCCAGTTCACAATTTTAGCAGTGTATCTAATGACGGGGATGACCCAGGTGTTGATAGCCCTGATTGTATTTCCGCCATTTAATTTGCTCTTCAAAACCTTTCTGACTCTTTGGATAAATTCTTTGCTCACCACATTTTTTACATGCCTATTATTGTTGTTGTTGTTATTTTACTGACACAAAACACAGTATGGCACAGCACATGAGATATATATGCTAGATTTCATATCACAAAATCACAAGTCATACACTTCTCTAGTGTTTAGGACTGTGTGATGGATTTTCGAATAATGCACACAGATCCAAGTGGTGGCCTTTTGTAATTGACGGATCATGATTTTGTCAATGTTTACTGCTTCCAAATGCCAGCTGAGATCTTTTGGCACAGCACCCATTGTGCCAGTTACTACTGGGACCACCTGTACTGGTTTATGCCAGAGCCTTTGCAGTTCGATTTTGAGGTCTTGATAACAGCTGAGTTTTTCCTGTTGTTTTTATTGTTTTATTGTTACTATAATAATTATTATTAATTGTAACTCAGGGACTGCCTGTATTAATGTTAACAGGTGTTCACGCAGAGGACTTTTGTATGATTGTCATAAAATAGTGTTGCTTTCTCTTCCTGTCAGGACACAGATCTTTAATAATTATGCTAGTAAGCCCCATAGCATGGTGCCTTGAGTTCATTCAGTGTGAAATACATTTACATAGTAATGAGATTGGCATCTTAATGATAATACACCCAAACTGTTTGTTTGATCTGAAATATGCCTTCCCTTTTTGAGGTTGGTGTGTGTGTGTGTGTGTGTATGCCATCAATTTCTCAGCAAGCTATTTTTATTGGTGCCATCCCTTTCTCAGGAAGCTATTTTTTATTGATTTTGCTAACACTTAAAGTGATTTATTTTATCACTGCATATTGTCTAACACTCAGAAATTTATGTAACCATCTCCTTACAAGGCGACAGGGCATCGTAAACTGGTCTCCTCAAATCCTAGTCACTGAAGAAATACTTAGAAGTTGTTGCTCTTAAACTGAGCAAAAGGTTGCCAAATCAACAACAGTGTTATTTTCTTTTGAATGCTTGAGATTTTTTAAAATAGATTAATGATGCGAAAAGGGTAAAATGTGTGTTTTAAAAGCTGGTGCATACATATGGCGGATGCTGAAGAAAGAGAGAGTGCTGCTTTAGAACAAACAAAAAAGCAAGTGAGGAAATGTTTCACTTAAGTGCAAAACGTGGGCGTACTGAGTCTCTTTGCAAAATTAAGTAATTTTCAAAAACTTTTTACAAGCAGCAGTGTGGGTAGGAGAAGCTGAGATGCTTCTCGCTGCCGATGTTATGAGCACAATCTATAGCTGTACTTGACACTTGACTGTTATATTTTGCTAGTTGCTGTTCCTATTAATCTCCTGCATAGAAGCAGGATGAAATTTTCTCAGCGATGTAATGCTATTACTTGAGCACAAGGGAAATGCTGTTTACTCAAAACAGAAGTGATGCCCTGAGGAAAGACAGCCTTGACAACATGAAGTCATTTCATAAAATATTTTGTGGTCTAAAAGGACCTAGGATTCCAGAAGTCCCTGACAAAATAAAATATAATATTCCTGGAGGAATCTGAGTTGGAGCCTTGTTTGACTGGATTTAATGCTAGTTAAACTGCTATAGATATTTGCTGCCTCTTACTTCCAAAAGGCCCGTCATCTGTTTCAGGTGCAATTAAGGGCTGGCTTTAAGCACATCTGGTTAATCACCAATAGCAATAGAGCTTACCAATTGGAAAGGTTGGCAGTTCAAAGCCTGGTTCGGGATGAGCACTCAGTCTTCAGCCCAGCTTACTGTCCAACGAAGCAGTTCGAAAACAGCTGTGTGCTGTGAGTAGAGAAATTAGGCACCTTTTAAGCGGGGAGGTATTTTACAGCACCATAAATATCATAAAAAATACCGGTGATCAAAGGAAGGAGGAAGTCTGTAACCAAGGCTCTTCGTCATAGAGGTTGGAGCAACAGCACCCCTCTGTGGCCGGAATCGAGCACAACCTCCAGGATACCGAAGTTGGGGGGAAATGCCTCTATCTGTTGTCTGTCCTGTCTGTTTAATGGCATTGAATGTTTGCAATGTATGTGTTCTGTGATCCACCCTGAGATCCCTTCGGGATGAGAAGGGCAGAATATAAATGCTGTAAATAAATAAATAGGAATAGTGTCTAGATCTAAGGAATGCTACCCCTCTATTCTGCTTTGGTTAGACCACATCTGGAATATTGTGTCCAATTCTGGGCACCACAATTCAAGAGAGATATTGACAAGCTGGAATGTGTACAGAGGAGGGCGACTAAAATGATCAAGGGTCTGGAGAACAAGCCCTATGAGGAGCGGCTTAAGGAGCTGGGCATGTTTAGCCTGAAGAAGAGAAGGATGAGAGGAGATATGATAGCCATGTATAAATATGTGAGAGGAAGCCACAGGGAGGAGGGAGCAAGCTTGTTTACTGCTTCCATGGAGATTAGGACAAGGAACAATGGCTTCAAACTACAAGAAAGGAGATTCCATCTGAACATGAGGAAGAACTTCCTGACTGTGAGAGCCGTTCAGCAGTGGAACTCTCTGCCCCGGAGTGTGGTGGAGGCTCCTTCTTTGGAAGCTTTTAAGCAGAAGCTGGATGGCCATCTGTCAAGGGTGATTTAAATGCAATATTCCTGCTTCTTGGCAGGGGGTTGGACTGGATGGCCCATGAGGTCTCTTCCAACTCTTTGATTTTATGATTCTATGATTTCTAAAAATAATGTTGCGTGTAATGGTAGAATGCAGCAATCACCAAATCCAATTCCAGGGAAACCATCTGAAATCCCTGGTATTCCCCATGGAGGTGCCTTTAATGCGGGGCTCATAACAAAAGAGGTGGGATCCATTCTATGTGAGCCAGTTGTCTTTCCCAATTTCCAGGACCGCACCAGCTGCCTTGAGTCCCCTCTGGGGTCGAGAAAGGCGGGGTAGAAATGAAGTAAATAATAATAATTCAAACATGTGCTAAACAGTGCCACATAAATTTGTATATTGCTTCAATAAAAAAACTCTCTTTTTTCCCTTCAGAGTTGAGCCAAAAGCCATTTAAAAGGAAAAGATCCATTATAAACTGGGCCTTCTGGAAGGGAGTAGGTGCTCCAGTGGACAATGCGCCACCATCTCTAACATCTCCTGTGTCAGGGAAACTCTTTGGCCTTTCCCTCCCAGCCATCTGTGAGAATGATAATCTGCCCAAACCAGTCTTGGTAAGTTGCCAAATGTTCTAAGGGCTGATGCTTGAACTTTTGATGGCAGTTCCCATTCTTTTCAGGGGGATTGGGTCATACAGGGGGGTATCAATGTGAAGATTTGGAAAAGCCTGTTCCTGTGTGGTTCCTTCTTCTGAAGCATTAACTTGAACTGTGCAAATGCATATTGTCATCACTGAAACCTTGGCATCCAGGATCAGAAACGAATCCAGGAGTACCCTCCAGATGTGAATCTGTGTTTTCAGGAGGAGTGGAACTCCATCTAACACAGTGGTTCTTAATCTATGGGTCCCCTGATGTTTTGGCTTTCAACTCCCAGAAATCCTAAGAGCTAGTAAACTGGCTGGGATTTCTGGGAGTTGTAGGACAAAACACCTGGGCACCCACAGGTTGGGAACCACTGATCTAACACAAGCTACATCCCTATCCAGAGGAGGGTGAATAAAATGATCAAGGGCCTGGAGAACAAGCCCAATAAGGAGCAGATTAAAGATCTGGTCATGTTTAGCCTGAAGAAGAGAAGGCTAAGAGGAGACATGATGGTGGCCATGTATCAATATGTCAGGGGAAGTCATAGGGAGGAGGGCGCAAGCTTGGTTTCTGCTGCCCTGGAGACTAGGACTCAGAATAATGGTTTCAAACTACAGGAAACTACCTGAACATTAGGAAGAACTTCCTGACTGTGAGAGCTGTTCAGCAGTGGAACTCTCTGCCCTAGACTGTGGTGGAGGTTTCTTTTTTGGAGGCTTTTAAGCAGAGACTGGATGGCCATCTGTCAGGGGTGATTTGAATGTGAGTTTCCTGCTTCTTAGAAGTGGGTTGGACTGGATATCCCATGGGGTCTCTTCCAACTCTATGGTTCTATAATTTTATCCCTGATCAGGAACAACGCTGGTCTTGTCTACGTTAAGCTTCCAAGTGTTTATCCTCATCCAATCTCTTACAGCTGCCAGGCATTGGTATAACATGGAAATAACTTCCTTGGAATTGGGTGTAAAGGAGTAATAGAGCTGGGTATCATCAATATATTGGTGACATCTGACCCCAAAACTCTGGACAACCTCTCCCAGTAGTTTCATGTGCATGTTAAATAGCATAGAGGACAAAACAGGACCCTGAGGGACTCCTCATATGAACGACCGAATACAGGAATCCCATAGCATAAGCTCTGCAGGAAGAATGGAACCATTTCAGAATATTATATGCAAGCAACCATCCCAGCAAGGGAACTCAGGAGGATGTCAAAAGCTGCTGAGCAGTACCAACAGGGACACACACCCAACTCCAGTTTCTGGAATAGTTTGACCACCAAGTCATAGCCAGGCTTGAAATCAGATTGCAATGGATCTAGATATGTCTGTATCTCCCATGCATGTTTCCATAAACCATATGTTGCATCATTGCTTCCTTTTGCCTTCCCATGTAAGTATGATGTGTGTGTATCAAGGATAGTGCTCTCTAGGTTTCTTTGAAGCCGTGGTTTATAACACATTTCAGTTTGGTGCATCTTTAGAATTCCACATAAGCAAGGGCCTGCTGTTGACTTATTCCATCTACATAATATGTATACAGTGCAATTTAGTTAGGCATGGACAATACAGTTGCCTATCCATAAGCATAAGGAGTTACTGTACTGAAATCAATGCATTGCCTAGCCATGCAGCTTCTTCCAAAATATTAAGTCTGAAATAACATTTTTCATTTTAGTTCTAACTACTGTAAGTATAGTTTTAAGTAGGTATGGTTATCAAATGTATATAGTAATATGGCCTGGCTTTTCCTGAAAGGTTAAAGAATAATGCTCAGACTAGCAAAGACTGAGCATAACACAGGGCCATAGGGGCGGGGGTGAGTTGAATGAGACTTAAATGCATTGTTTTTAAGGGAACAGAGATGTTAGAGATTTCTCAGGCTAAGTTCCTCTTTGGAGAAAGGCATTTTAGGGCATCTTACTCAGAACTCGGGACTGCCAGTATAGCCAGAAACTTCTGCATCCCAATTTTAATAACAGTAACTCAGTCTTAATAATGGTGTGTTTCCCTCCTGCTTCCCCTACCCGCCATCTAGTCAAAGATCCTTCTGTTAAAGAAACAATACCTGCCATTCTTTTTTGATTGGCTAGATTTTAACTCTTCCAAGTTACAACAGTCATAGTATGTGTGTGTATACACTCAGCTTTTAAACTTCTAATAATGGTTTTTATGTTAGTCTGAAACAAAGATCAGTGAAGATCATACTGGCTTAGTGAATACCTTTATATTTGTGGATGCTTTTACAGCCTGCTGTATGAGAATAAAAAACTCCTTCTAGTATGGAAAGGTTCCAGAGTCACCAGATTTGCATTTCGCTGTCACGTTAGTGCCTTATATATTTCCAACTCAATTTAATATGATGTTACTTATCTTGGAGCCTCTGGTGGCACAGCAGGTTAAATCTGTCAGAGTAGCTTTAGTAGCCCGCAGAATGTCTCAGCCCCTTTTACTCTCAGTGTGATAAAACCTCAAAAAATACACATGAGTCTGTTGCTTTAAGTAGAAACAAAAATATAGTTCTATTCACTGTAGATCAAAAAACATAAAGCAAAACAGAAGAATTGTACTCTCCGATATACAACAGGCAATATCTCTGGTAACTCTTCTTCTTTACACGACAATATGCAAACATATAGCAAAATAATATAGTCTCTCTACTTAGCTATCAGTAGAATGTCCTTATCTTGCCATAAACAAGCAGCTTCCTTGGCATTCCAAACTGCTTCACTCTTCAGCTTCAGGATGCTGCGTAACCTCTCCAAGCAACAGCCAAAGGTTCTTCAGCTCAAAATGAGCCATCAAGCTAAGCCAAAATGCAAAGCTCAAAGCCTGCAAACTTAGTGCCTTGTTATATGCAGGGACTGATAACACACCCAATTAACTTGTGGCAGCTGTAACAGAAAAGGTTCTGATCCTCCCTATTACTTAGAAAACGCCTGTTGTAAACCCCTAGTAGCAACAAAATCGCTGAGCTGCTGAATTTGCTGACTGAAAGGTTTGTGTTCCAAATCCAAGGAGTAGGGTGAGCTCCCACTGTTAGCCCCAGCATCTGCCAACCAGTCAGTTTGAAAACATGCAAATGTGAGTAGATCAATAGGTACTGCTTTGGTTGAAGATAACGGCACTCCATGCAGTCATGACCTTGGAGGCGTCTGTGGTTAATGCTGGCTCTTCAGCTCAGCAATGGAGATGACCACCACCCTCCAGAGTCGGACACAAATAGACTTAATGTCAAGGGGAAACCTTTACCTTTACTTACTTATCTTCAATCAGTAGTTTGGACAGAATTATCTGAAGGAGCATCTCTCTTCATGCCTACCAACTTTTATTTTGAGAGGTTCTGCAGAAGCTCTTTTTTTCAGGAAACTAGCCACATTTCAAAGGATATCCATCACCAAAAGACATTTAATGACAAGCAAGGGTGTGTACTTTGTCCATTTTCTCACAAGTCAGAACACAAAGTTCTTCTCCTCCCATGTGCAGCTTTAGAGACTCTGAGACACCTCTCCTTATGTATCTCAGTCATTCATTTTTGTGTATAAGTCAAGACAATGCAGTGAAATGGAGACGTTGAGGTGCTGAAAGTAAGGCTCTGCCAAAGCTGCCTCTATGAGAAGAGAGTCTTACTGGCCCTCCATTTCTTTGTCTGGTGAAAGTCTGAGTTCTGCTGAAAATTTTAATTTTAATGCTTGCTTGCTTGCTTCTCATCAGGTTGACGTATTTATTTTATAGGACATGCTTTCCTTTCTCTATCAAGAGGGGCCTTTCACTCGGGGGATTTTCAGACGTTCAGCAAATGCCAAATCTTGCCGAGAGCTGAAGGAGAAGCTTGACTCAGGGGATGAAGTGCTTTTACTCTGCGAGTCCATATTTGTGACAGCCTCTGTGTTCAAGGTAAACTACCATTTGCTGCGCAACCCCCGCAAATGATGAGGCAATACACAAGAATGGGTTAACTATGGGCAACTTTATTAACGTTACCTAATTAAATTCTGGAGCCCATGGTGGCGCAGCGGGTTAAACAGCTGAGCTGCTGAACTTGCTGACTGAAAGGTCGGCAGTTCGAATTTGGGGAGTGGGGTGAGCTCCCGTTGTTAGCCCCAGCTTCTGCCAACCTAGCAGTTCGAAAACATTCAAATGTGAGTAGATCAATAGGTACCGCTCCAGCGGGAAGGTAACGGCGCTCCATGCAGTCATGCTGGCCACATGATCTTGGAGGAGTCTACGGACAATGCTGGCTCTTCAGCTTAGAAGCTTATTGGGACCAAGAAAAAGGTCTCCTTCGAGGATCTTAAAACATAGACAAGCTCATGTTGGAAGATACCATCTTGGAAATAATCTGAACCCAAGTTGCTTTTGGCTTTGTAAGCTGTAACAAGAAGTTTCAATGGTTCCAAAATATGAAAAGGCAGTTAGTCAAGGTGTTTCAACCAAGGAGTTATACATTCCCTTAACCGGCCCCAGTCTGCAGTCTGACTGCAGTATTTTGAACCCACTGCAGTTTCCAAATGGTTTTCAAAGGCAGTCCCATATAGGATGTACCACAGAACTCCAAACAGGTTGTGATCAAGGCATGTATCACTGTGGCCAGATGTGATGTGAACTCAGTTTTCCCCATTTCAGGTCCACCACTCTGATCTCTATTCCATGCTCTCTACATTATAGGGTGATTACTATTTAAAAGAGTTCAGTATTGAATTAACAAATTCCTGTTCCATTGATTCTATATTTTTTATTTATTTACAGTATTTATATTCCACCCTTCTCACCCTATAGGGGACTCAGGGCAGATTACAATGCACATATATATGGCAAACATTCAGTAGACATACAACATATATAGATAGATACAGAGGCAATTTAACATTCCAGCTTTCCGGCTTCATGAGGGTATGCTAGATTACGGCCACAGGGGGAGCTGCCGCTTCACCATCCACTTGTGACACTGAGTCCTTGATGGAGTACTTCCTCATTCTTATGCACGCTGCTGGAAGGTTTTATGGTGTCGTAAATTAGTTAAATTAGCCTCCCTGCATAAAGCAGTACCTAAATTTCCTACTTGACAGATGCAGCTGTCTTTCAGGCTGCATAGGTCAACAGGAAGCTAGACTATTAATGGTCGGGAGTTTACTCCGACCCAGGCTGGCTTCGAATTCATGACCTCTTAGTCAGTAGTGATTTAATGCAGCTGGCTACTAAATAGCTGCGCCAGAGCCCGATCCAGAATAGAAAACTTGTCAGATTTATCCATAAATTGATAGTTCACACAGAACAGTTTTTAAGCAACTGATTTTAATGTGTATATAAGTGATTTTAATGTTTGTATATATTTATGGTTTTATGAATGTTTGCCATATTTATGCTGTGCTCCGCCCTGAGTCTCTTGCGGGGTGAGAAAGATGGAATATAAAGGTTTTAAATAAATAAATAAATAAAACAATTTAATGTTGGCCTGATAGAGTTTGTTGGTTCATATTGGTTCATATTGTGAGATACGATCTTTCAAATCTAAACCCAAGCTATGTAGGCCAGACAGGACCAATAACATTTAATGATGGGCTGATAAATAGCCAGGGTTGGCTAGAGGATTCAAAACATCATCTTGACTCATACTGCCCCAGCTGTTAAATGGCCTACATTTAGGTTTTTACGCACAAGTAGAAATGTTTGTTCATATGTTTTTCCTTCTTCCTTTAAGGATTTCCTTCGTAATATCCCAGGCAGCATTTTTTCTTCCCATCTCTGTGATCAGTGGGTTTCTTTAATGGATGAAGGGAACCATGAAGAGAAGATCAAAAGCATCCACAGGTACAACTGTTTGTATGACTTCTTATGCTGTTTAAAGAAAAATGATCACGTAGAAAGAAGAGAAATATGACATGTGGGTCTTCAGTTTCCACTTCAATTTCAGCCAAGTGCATAATCGTGGTGTATTTATTTTGATTTTTTGATCTAGTTCAGCATTCTGGAATTAGGAAGCAAGTCTCTACTGAATGTTGAATGTTAACATGACCTTGTTTTCTTTGTGGGCTTCCATTTTTGTATGTGGTGGGCCTCCGGTTGATACATGTGGGGATGGTGGGATTGGATGAAGGGAGGAAGGTTTGAAGCGGTTCTTTTGCCAAGTGCTCTCCTTTTTCAACGTTTTGTTTGCTCCTAGGCTAATGGAACAGCTCCCCAGAGCCAACGTGGTGCTATTACGTTATCTCTTTGGAGTCTTACACAGCATAGAAAAGCAATCTGAGGACAATCAGATGACGGCATTTAACTTAGCTGTGTGCATTGCGCCTAGCTTGCTCTGGCCTTCAGCTCCTCCAAGCCCTGGGACTGAAGGGGAATTCATGAAAAAGGTAACTTACAAACCAGTTCTGCTTTTATTATCTATCTCTTCTACTTTGAGCCATTTCAGAGAATCCAAGGAAGTGGCTCAAAAGAAAGCAGAAGTGAAAGGTGTGTCATCATGTTTTGGGGCTTTGTTTACTTCATTTCTATCCTGACTTTTCAACAAAACAGTAATTCAGACACAAAACATTGAAGCAGTCTAAAACAAAACAGATTAAAGCTCCACTGGCTGCCGGTCCGCTTCTGAGCACAATTCAGAGTGCTGGTTTTAGTCTATAAAGCCCTAAACCAGTGGTTCTCAGCCTTCCTAATGCTTTAATAGAGTTTCTCATGTTGTGGTGACCCCCAACCTTAAAATTATTTTCATTGCTACTTCTTAATTGCAATTGTGCTACTGTTATGAATCATCATGTAAATATCTGATATGCAGGATGTATTTTCATTTACTGGACCAAATTTGGCACAAATACCTGATATGCCCAAATTTGAATACTGGTGGGATTGGATGGAACCTCTTTGGCAGAGAATTCTGAAGAACTCTCAGCCTGTCCGCTTCCTTTTTGGTGAACTACAACTCCCAGAATTCGAAAATTGCACCCACCCCCCTCAACCCCACCAGTATTCAGTTTTGGCCATGAAGGTAGTGTGCCAAGTCTGGTGCAGATCCATTATGGGCTGTGTTCAGAGTGCTCTTTGATTGTAGGTGAACTATAAATCCCAGCAACTACAGCTCCCATATGTCAGTGTCTATTTTCCATCAGTGTCCACATTTGGGCATATTGAGGATTCATGCAAAGTTTGGTCCAGATCCATAACTGTTTGAGTCCATAACACTGTCTGGCTGTAGGTGAATTACAACTCCAAAACTCAATGTCAATGCCCACCAGACCCTTTCAGTATTTCTGTTAGTCATGGGAGTTCTGTGTGCCAAGTTTGGTTCAATTCCATTGTTGGTGGAGTTCAGAATGATCTTTGATTGCAGATTAACTATAAATCCCAGTAATTACAACCCCCAAATGTAAAGGTCTATTTTCCCCAAACTCCATCAGTATCAACATCTGGGCATATTGAGGATTCATGCCAAGTTTGGTCCAGATCCATCATTGTTTGAGTCAATAGTGCTCTCTGGATGTAGGTGATCTACAACTCCAAAACTCAAGGTCACATCCTTTCAGTATTTCTGTTGATTATGGGAGTTCTGTGTGCCAAGTTTGGTTCAATTCCATCTTTGTTGGAGTTCAGAATGCTCTTTGCTTGTAGGTGAACTATAAATCTCGGCAACTACAACTCCCAAATGACAAAATCAGTCCCCTTCCAACTCCACCAGTATTCAAATGTGGGTGTATCGGGTATTTGTGCCAAACTTGGTCCAGCATATGAAAATGCATCCTGCATATAAGATATTTATATTACAACTAGCCGTCCCCTGCCATGCGTTGCTGTAGCCCAGTCTGTGTATATGTATTGTGTGTGTGTGTATGTATATATGTGTATATGTGTAAATATGTTGTTTTGCATATGCATTGTAATGTATTTTTTATTTGTTGGCTTTTTAAGGCTCTTCTGCTGTGTTTTTCAGTGTTTTTATGAGTGATGATCACTTGTTGGCCTGATACATGTATTGTGTCCAAATTTGGTGTCAATTCATGATTTATGCTAATCTCACAAACGAACATTACCGTTTTATTTATATAGATCCATAACAGTAGCAAAATTATGAAGTAGCAGTTATGAAGTAGCAACAAAAATAATGTTATGGTTGTGGGTCACGACAACATGAGGAACTATATTAAGGGGTTGTGGCATTAGAAAGGTTGGAAACCACTGATGTAGCTAATTCGAATACTTTTTGGGCTTAATTTAAAAGGCTAAGACAATATTTTTGATGGGGTTGCTATAAAATCAAGAACAACAGTAATCTTATTCCATTCTCCTCCTCCTCCTTTCCTGATATGACCAATGTTTCCAATAGGGCATATTCAGATTCCCGTCCTATCTTGGGAGGCAGCCTAGAATAAACAGGTTGCACGAGGAGGATTTGTGTGGGAGTAAAAGAACTGGCACAGGAATGGGATCACACACAGCTAACAGGAGGCAGGCAGGGAGAATGTTCCAGTGCGAAGCAGAAAAGGAAGAGGTTTTGGAAAGAACCTGTTACATACCAAGGAAACAGCAGGGATGAGAGGAAAGGAAGGCGTGTTTGTTTGATAAGCCGTGCACTATTAATATGCGCCATCCTGGATGCAAAGGGCATTCTTGAATGCAAGATTTGCATAAGTGCACACTCTGTAATAACAGAGGACACTACAATAATAAAGGATGAGCTACATCAATCTCAAGACTGTGATGACGGGGAAAAAGAGCTTCTGCGTGGGGAACCATCTCAGGCGCAGCCAAATTGGTGCCTTGGCAATGAACTGTGCAGTGTCAAATCTGTCTTAAATTCTTTTGACGCAAGTACTATTCTTCTTTGATTGTAGGTTTCCATCCTTGTGCAATTTCTCATTGAAAACAGTTGCAGGGTTTTTGGAGAGGACATTACTTCCCTCTTTGGAGATTTGGTGCCCAAAAATGACAACAGAGAAGATGGTTCAGGTAAAGTAAAGAAACAACTAAAAGAAAATACATGGCATTCTAGGTTAACTTGCCCTCTCTATATAGTAATTTGGTCTTAATGCCCTGTTGCCTATAAGTTGTATTTTAGATCGCAGTATAATACAAGGAAGTATGTTGGCATAATGAAAAATCATGCGTAGTTCATGTTTTGTCCGTCCACACACTGACTTGCCAGAGAAAGAAAATATGCCATGCAGATGATCAATAAAGAACAAATAGTTTACTCTTTGTAAAGCAGAGCAACATATTTACAATCATGAGGTCAGTTGCATTGACTCACACAATGTCCATAGAGATCTACATGGTCTTATCCATGAGGAAAATCTCCTTCCAGCAGCTCATGAAGCAAGGACTGTCTCTCTTTCTGCAAGCACTTGCATAGCTCAAGCCTGAATATGAAACTCTTGCTAAAATTCCCAGGCTCAGCTAGGTCCCTGAGCGTGGCCCAACCAATTAGCTTCGTGCCTTGCATTTTACAGTTAGCACACACACTAACCGATTTCTTACATGCCCTAACAAGGTAGACTGTGTATTATTCGAATGCAAGATTCCTAGGATTACATTTCCTGAAGCTGGTTGTGTGGCCTTTAGCAGAATGGCTTTGAGAATAAGTAAATTAGATTAACATTTTTAATGCATGCTGGGTTTTGAAAACTGATAAATAAAATGTATGCTTTTGGGGAGGGGGGAAATCAAGCAGTATTGCTTTTGCTTAAGCTGGTGGCACCTCTGGGTATGCTAACAACTATTTCATACTCCTACAGATCTCTCCTCTTTTCATCTGAATGACTCCTCCTATGACAGTTTGGAAAATGAACTGAATGACTGTGCAGACTCGTCATTTAACAACCTGCTCAAAAAACGGGGTCAGGAAAACAGGAGCCGGGACTCTGTTTTGACCCTGAGTGACTGTGATTTGGACCCACATGAATCAGAAGGACCTCAAATCAAGTTGCCAGCTAAATCTCAGCCAGTATCTATTTCGGTTGGGTTTCATCACAAGTCACCTTCACGGGAACACTCTGAAAACGAGTCTCTGTGCTCTATCACATCCGGCTACTCATCAACAACCATCTCAGATGTTCGCAAAAGCTCCAGGAGGCACAGGCGCTGCTCTGAACCCACTATTGGCCTTCTTGCCTCCAACTTTACACCACGAAGTGGCTTTCATGAAAGTGCTGTGCGGAAAGCCAGCTGTGATGCTGTTCTGTCCCACATGGATGAGGACTATCTAAAACAGCTTCGTTCACTCCAAGTGGAAGGCCAAAAACTTATGAATCAGAGTTTGGCAATGGGCATAGATGTGGGCAAGGATAGCCCTGAAAGCCACACCAGTGAAAAGAAAGATACATGTAACCGTCTTCTCCCACCACCTCCACTTAGGTTGAACATTTGCTCAAGGACTAGCTGTTCTAGCCTATCCTCCCCTGGCACTTCTCCGTCGGGATCTTCAATGAGCTCTCTAGATAGTGCTTTTTCCCAGTTTTCGGACTACTCTGTCTTTACCCCAACGGAAACCTCCTCTCCTCTGGACTGCACATTTCACTCGCAGAGGAAGTGTGGGGAGATTTCTCCTGACTTTATCCCCTTCTCAGGTGTCCACCTTGGATCAGGGGTCGGCACTTCTGCTAGCACTAGTCAAAATAGCAGCTTGCTCGGTGTTAAGAAAGAGAGCATGGAATGGCCTCCTCATAAAAGCCCTGTCACTCTCCATCCCAGCACCTGGTTAAAAAGTGGAGCTTCCACCATGAAAAATTGGACTCTACGGAAAAGGGAGAAGGCCTCCAAGCAGGAAGAGAAAAAGAACACTCCAACTAAGGTAACGGTGGAGTTGTCAACATCTCCTTTGGATACATCAAAGAGCAATTTGGGTCAAAAGCAACAGCAGATTAATGTTGTGTCCATGGATGAGGAGAATTGTCCTCTTCAAGATGCTCAGCAACTCACCAGCCTGGCATTTTGTCCAACAGAGGTCAAGGATAAACGGCTAAAGGCCTTGGAGCTTTTGGCAGAGCAAAGCAAAGAAGAGGAAGAGGAGGAAAGCTCTGCATTGTTCCCTTCTCATAAACGGCAGTCTTGCAATGCAAGAGCTGAACTTAAACCCGAGCCAGATGCTGTCCTCAACACTGAATGTCAATGGGTCACTGAGGAGAACTTAAGCAAATCTGTGCGTTCCTTAGAGATCGCAGGCCAAAAAGTTGAACGTTCCAAGAACAATAAATCTTTGTCCAGCCGAGCATCCAAGATTATTAGTGCCAGATCTGAAAGAGAATTCTGTGCCACTTCTCCAAACCCTACCAAAGCCAAGAATGAACTTTCTTTTCAGGCCATTTCAAGCAACACTTCCCCCAGATCACAGGAAGGGCCTGATGTCAGCAAAACGGAGTGGCTAAAAAAATTGTGTGGGGATCCCAAATTTGAGGAGATGGACAAAAAAATGTTCACAGAGGAATCTTATGTTTGAACAGCCACCGTCAAAAGAATTCAATTTCAACTGAACCTTGTTCAGTTTAGTATCCCAAGAGGATATATTCTCATCAGGGACTTAATAGGATTTCATTCTGTGTGAAGGAGTATCAGAGTGATTTTCCTGGACACAGTCATGTGGTTTGAGAGACATTTTCTGATATCTGGGAAACTTTCAAGGGGAACCTTGCATTCTAAAACACTAGCAAAATAACTTTTGTATGCTCTTGCTATACATCTCTTCTCTGAACCACTCCTGTATGTTCAAAACATTGTAAATGTATGTTTTGTGTCCACTGTGACTTGGGTGTAGTATGTGAGGTCAGTCTCTGCCTCCTTAGTTAGTGGTATTGTACTGCTGTTTTGAAACTGGTGGTCCATTTCATTGTCCTCCAAGGAAAGAGCTTTTAATGTTTCTGTATGTTTTATGAGGCAGCTGTTCAACAGAGCTAGTCATTTTATTCTTTCAGCAAAAGAAGAGTTCCTAAATTAATCATCAATCCTGACCTTTGTATAACTGAATTCCAACGTTTGTGTGTGTCACCTTACTGTGCGCCATTTGGACATTGCTTTTTTTTTTTTGTTTCAGTTGTGAATACTTTCTTAATGATGATGCTCTCTAAGGGCATTGCATCTTGGTGGTGGTGTTGCAGGCAGAACTTCTGTAATTTTATTATACGCATTGGAATCATCTTTGTTATAATATATTGAAAGTAATGCATTATCTTTAAATGCTTTGAGATTGTATAATATATCTTGATAATTTTTTGCTATTGTATATGTTCTGAAATAAATGTGTATTTTTGTACTTGGGGGAAATGCCGCTTAGCTTTTTGGATGACTTGGGTGCCAGTAGTGATGTGTATGTGTATCTTGCAATACATTCGACATTATAAAGGTGATGGGATGGGAACAGCTGGACAAATAACATTATTCTTGGAGACATTCAGTTTCAGCTGACTTCACTCCGTTGTGGCCTGGACTTCAGAATCAATTTTTAATAGAAAGGTTGCAATCCAGTAATCTTCTGCCTTGCTTTTATGCAAGTCAGTGGGAGTCAGGCAATAGGCCCCATAACACTGCTGGATATTTCCAGTGACTGTGTGGAAACTATTTTGAAAATGTTTCTATCTTGCTGAAAGAATCTGATTTCTGATCCAAAGGAGGCATGTTGGTGCATTTATGCACTTTCACTTAGTTTCTTGTTGAATTTATTTATTTATTTATTTATTTATTTATGCTATTTCTATCCCGCCTTTCTCAAACCCGGAGGTGACTCAAGGTGACTTACGACTGGCAGCCATTTGATGCCATAAACAATATAGTAAAGTAAAGGTAAAGGTTTTCCCCTGACATTAAGTCCAGTCATGTCTAACTCTGGGGGGTTGGTGCTCATCTCCGTTTCTAAGCCGAAGAACCCGCATTGTCCACAGACACCTTCAAGGTCATGTGGCCGGCATGACTGAATGGAGTGCCATTACCTTCCTGCCAGAATGTATAATTTAAACATTTAAAAACAAGATTATAAAATCATACAATAAAACCATAAGCACTACAGTCAGCAAATGGGCATTTACATGATGAAATGTGTACACTCTCCCCGTCTCTGTCTGTCTCTTGCACACACACATGCTAAATCCTGATATACAGTAGAATCTCACTTATCCAACCATCACTCATCCAATGTTGTGTATTATGCAACGCAGTCTGCCTTCCACCTGGATCCACAGCTGTTTCAATACATTGTGATGCTTTAGTACTAAATTCATAAATACAGTAATTATTACATAATGTTACCATGTATTGAACTGTTTTCCTGTTGATTAGATGTTTTGGTACTTAATTTGTAAAATCATAACTTAATTTGATGTTTAATAGGCATTTCCTTAATCCTTTTTTATTATCCAAAATTTTCGGTTATCCAACATTCTGTCGGCCCTTTTATGTCGGATAAGTGAGACTCTACTGTATATAGTAAACTAAATATTATGTCAAAGATGGAGAATCTGAGGTCCTTCAGGCATGTTAAGTCCAGTAGTGAGAAAAAAAAAGGGGGTGGAGTCCAACAACATATGGAGATTTATTTATTTATTCACACTATTTCTATCCCACCTTTCTCGAACCCGAAAGTGACTCAAAGTGGCTTACAACCAGGCAGCCATTTGATGCCTTAACATCATACACTTAATGTTTTCCTCCTGGTGTTCAGTTCTCTACATACAGGGTTCCCCCTCTCCCTCATATACAATATTATTGGAAAAGTATCTTAGATTAATGACTTAGATGAAAGGTTAGAAGGCATGATCATCAAGTTTGCAGACAACACCAAATTAGGAGGGATATCCAATACTCCAGAAGACAAGAGCAGAATTCAAAATGACCTTGACAGAGTAGAAAGATGGGCCAAAATTAACAAAATGAAGTTCAACAGGGACAAATGCAAGCTACTCCACTTAGGCAAAAAATGCAAAGATACAGAATAAGGATGCCTGGCTTGATAGCAGTACGTATGAAAAAGATCTTGGATTCCTCATGGACAACAAGTAAACATGAGCCAACAATGCCATGCAACAGCAAAAAAAAAAGCCAATGGGATTGTGGCCTGCATCAATAGGAACCCAGTTTCTAGATCCTGGGAAGTCATGCTATACCTGGAATACTATGTCCAGTTCTGGGCACCACAATTGAAGGGAGATGTTGAGAAGCTGGAATGTGTCCAGAGGAGGGTGAGTAAAATGATCAAGGGTCTGGAGAACAGGCCCTATGAGGAGCAGTTTAAAGAGCTGGGCATGTTTAGCCTTCAGAAGAGAAGGCTGAGAGAAGGCATGATGAGAGCCATGTATAAATATGTGAGGGGAAGTAACAGGGAGGAGGGAGCAAGATTGTTTTCTGCTGCCCTGGAGACTAAGACACGGAACATGGCTTCAAACTACAGGAAAGGTGATTCCACCTGAACATTCGGAGGAACTTCCTCACTGTGAGAACTGTTCAACACTGGAACTCTGCCCCAGAGTGTAGTGGAAGCTCCTTCTTTTAAACAGAGGCTGGATGGCCATCTGTGCTGCCCCCTCCGTGCTGCCCCCTCCCTCCTGCCACTCCGGGGGAGGAAGAGAAGGGAACGAGGCCCAGCCCAGCGGCGGCGTCCACCAAGCCTGCAAGGCTCCTCCGTGCTGCCCCCTCCCTCCTGCCACTCCGGGCGAGGAAGAGAAGGGAACGAGGCCCAGCCCAGCGGCGGTGTCCACCAAGCCTGCAAGGCTCCTCCGTGCTGCCCCCTCCCTCCTGCCACTCCGGGCGAGGAAGAGAAGGGAACGAGGCCCAGCCCAGCGGCGGCGTCCACCAAGCCTGCAAGGCTCCTCCGTGCTGCCCCCTCCCTCCTGCCACTCCGGGCGAGGAAGAGAAGGGAACGAGGCCCAGCCCAGCGGCGGCGTCCACCAAGCCTGCAAGGCTCCTCCGTGCTGCCCCCTCCCTCCTGCCACTCCGGGCGAGGAAGAGAAGGGAACGAGGCCCAGCCCAGCGGCGGCGTCCACCAAGCCTGCAAGGCTCCTCCGTGCTGCCCCCTCCCTCCTGCCACTCCGGGCGGGAAGAGAAGGGAACGAGGCCCAGCCCAGCGGCGGCGTCCATCAAGCCTGAAAGGCTCCTCCGTGCTGCCCCCTCCCTCCTGCCTCGCTGGGGGAGGAAGAGAAGGGAACGAGGCCCAGCCCAGCGGCGGCGTCCACCAAGCCTGAAAGGCTCCTCCGTGCTGCCCCCTCCCTCCTGCCTCGCTGGGGGAGGAAGAGAAGGGAACGAGGCCCAGCCCAGCGGCGGCGTCCACCAAGCCTGCAAGGCTCCTCCGTGCTGCCCCCTCCCTCCTGCCACTCCGGGCGAGGAAGAGAAGGGAACGAGGCCCAGCCCAGCGGCGGTGTCCACCAAGCCTGCAAGGCTCCTCCGTGCTGCCCCCTCCCTCCTGCCACTCCGGGCGAGGAAGAGAAGGGAACGAGGCCCAGCCCAGCGGCGGCGTCCACCAAGCCTGCAAGGCTCCTCCGTGCTGCCCCCTCCCTCCTGCCACTCCGGGCGAGGAAGAGAAGGGAACGAGGCCCAGCCCAGCGGCGGCGTCCACCAAGCCTGCAAGGCTCCTCCGTGCTGCCCCCTCCCTCCTGCCACTCCGGGCGAGGAAGAGAAGGGAACGAGGCCCAGCCCAGCGGCGGCGTCCACCAAGCCTGCAAGGCTCCTCCGTGCTGCCCCCTCCCTCCTGCCACTCTGGGGGAGGAAGAGAAGGGAACGAGGCCCAGCCCAGCGGCGGCGTCCACCAAGCCTGCAAGGCTCCTCCGTGCTGCCCCCTCCCTCCTGCCACTCTGGGGGAGGAAGAGAAGGGAACGAGGCCCAGCCCAGCGGCGGCGTCCACCAGGCCTGCAAGGCTCCTCCGTGCTGCCCCCTCCCTCCTGCCACTCCGGGCGAGGAAGAGAAGGGAACGAGGCCCAGCCCAGCGGCAGCATCCACCAGGCCTGCAAGGCTCCTCCGTGCTGCCCCCTCCCTCCATTCGCTGTTTTACATCAGCCGTCCATCGACTACATCTTTGAATCACAACAACATTACCAACTGATATTGTTTACAACTTCTCTAATGTTATGTTTACATATTGCCTAATGTAGCACTTTATTGTTCCTTGCCTTATCTGCTGCTAATTGGTACAAATAACATAGTATAGCACTTTATGGCGCCTGCCTCTTCTGCTGCTAAATTGAACTAGCACTTAATCCCCCATCCCTCCATGCCGCACTTTAGTTAGTACTTAGAGCCAGACTTGGGTACCTTGTTGCACTTTAAGACCTTTGCACTTTATGAACTGCTTCAGTGGCATGCAGCTGTGACGCCTACTGTGTTTGCACTTTAAGACCCTTGCACCTTATGAACGGTCCCAACTGTTCGCAGTTGTGACGCTTACTGCACTTTGCTATTGTCAGTCTTATTGAATTGTTCCATCATTACCCATGTGGTACCCTATCCCCCTATTTGTATTGTCCTTGGTATTAGTGACTTGTGGAAGGGGCAAGGGACGAAGCGGGC